GGCAATGCCAAAGAATGTTCAAACTACTGCACAATTGCACTCATCTCACACACTAGCAAAGTAATGCTCTAAATTCTCCAAGCCAGGCTTCAACAGTACATGAACCAAGAACTTTCAGATGTTCAAGCTGGATTTAGAAAAGGTAGAGGAACCAGAGATCAAATTGCCAACATCTGCTGGATCATAGAAAAAGCAAGAGAATTCCAGAAAAACATTTACTTCTGCTTCATTGACTATGCTAAAGCTTTTGCCTGTGTGGATCACAACAAACTGTGGGAAATTCCTAAAGAGACAAGAATACCAGACTACCTGGCCTGCCTCTTGATAAATCTGTATGCAGGTCAAGAAGCAAAAGTTAGAACTGGACATGGAACAACAGACTGGTTCCAAACTGGGAAAGGAGTACTTCAAGGCTGTATATTGTCACCCTGCTCATTTAACTTCTATGCAGAGTACATCATGCAAAATACTGGGCTGGATGAAGCACAAGCTGGAATCAAGATTGCTGGCAGAAATATCAACAACCTCAGATATGCAGATGACACCACCCTTATGGCAGAAAGCGAAGAGGAACCGAAGAGCCTCTTGATGAAAGTGAAAGAGGAGAGTGAAAAAGTTGGCTTAAAGCTCAACATTCAGAAAACTAAGATCATGGCATTTGGTCCCATCACTTCATGGCAGGTAGATGGGGACAACACAGGAAACAGTGACAGATTTTATTTTTCTGGGCTCCAAAATCACTGCAGATGGTGACTGCAGCCGTGAAATGAAAAGATGCTTGCTCCTTGGAAGAAAAACTATGACAAACCTAGACAGCATATTAAAAAGCAGACATTACTTTGCCAACAAAAGTCCACGTAGTCAAAGCTATGGTTTTCCCAGTGGTCATGTATGGATGTGAAAATTGGACCATAAAGAAAGCTGAGCACTGAAGAATTGATGCTTTTGAACTGTGGAGTTGGAGCAGCCTCGTGAGAGTCCCTTGGACTGCAAGGAGATCAAACCAGTTCATCCTAAAGGAAATCAGTCCTGAATATTCATTGGAGGGACTGATGCTGAAGCTGAAGCTCCAATACTTTGGCCACCTGGTGTGAAGAACTGACTCACTGGAAAAGACCCTGATGCTGGCAAAGATTGAAGGCAGGAGGAAAAGGGGATGACGGAGGATGAGATGGTTGGATGGCATCACCGACTCGATGGACATGAGTTTGAGTAAGCTCTGGGAGATAGTGATGGACAGAGAGGCCTGGCGTGCTACAGTTCATGGGGTGGCAGAGAGTCAGATAAGACTGAGTGACTGAACTGAACTGACACTCAGAAGCACAGAAAAGAAATTTACAGTTACCAAAAGGGAAAAGGGGTGGGGAAGGGATAAATTAGGATTTGGGGATTAGCAGATACAGTTTACTATATATAAAACAGATAAACAAAAAGGGCCTACTCTATAGCACAGGAAACTCTAATATCCTGTAAGAAACCAAACTGGAAAAGCACATGAAAAAGATAGTATATGTGAATCACTTTACTGTACACTAGAAATTAACACAACATTGCAAATCAACTATACTTCAATTTTAAAAAAATGTGTTTTAAAAGTACATTTGTAAGACTATAATAATGTCAATATCCTGATGTGATCTTACACTGTAATTTTTCAAAATATTATCACTGGTGGAAACTAGGCAAAGTGCATAAGGCATCCTGTCTTATTTCTTACAACTGCATGAAAATACATAATTATCTCAACAAAAAGTATATTTTAAGCCAATAATTTAGGATATAAAAGCAATTTTTTCATATACTGTCATAAACAGCAGTTGGTTCTAAGATCAACCCTTAGCATTAAAAAAAAAAAATTTATTTTTTTAATTTTTTGGCTGTACCACACAGCAGGTGGGATCCTAGTCCCTGACCAGTAATTGAACCTCCACTCTCTGCAGAGGAAACACAGAGTCTTAACCACTAGACCACCAGTGAAGTCCCATAATTTTTTATTTTTATTTTTTCACATCAAGAATATTCCAAATTTTATTTTTTTTAAACACAATTTTTAAAAAATTTATGATCCTCTTAGTATTAAGTATAAACGTGAATGACTCAGGCATACATTATATTTAGTATGAATTAAAGCAACAATTTCCTATCTTGTCACTCTTTTAATGTCTTCCACTCACCATTCACTGAATTACAAACCTGGTTATATTATCTCCTAGCTTGAAATCCTCCAGTAGTTTCCCAGGAATAAAGCCCAAAGTCTTCCTATGATACACAAGGCCCTCAAGATGGGGCTCCTGTCTACTTGTACAGCCTTCAGTACTTCCATGGGTCCCGAACATGCCGCTCTCATCCCCAAGACTGCACAGGTGTTTTTTCTACCTGGAATGCCATTTCCCACTCTCCACCTGTCAAACACCTGCTTGTTCCTTGCTTTTCTTGACACTGATCATCTCTTCACACTGTTCCTGGGGTTCCCACAGCAAGAATACTGAGGTGGTTTGCCACTTCCTCCTCAAAGACTGAAGGAAAAAGGAGAAGGGGGTGGCAGAGGATGAGATGGTTGGACAGCATCACCAACTCAATGGACATGAGTTTGAGCAAACTCTGGGAGACAGTGAAGGACAGGGGAGCCTGGAGTGCTGCAGTCTGTGAGCTCACAGAGAGTCAGACATGATTTAGTGACTGAACAACAACCATCATCCCTTCTCCAAGGCCTTCAGTGGCCTTCCTGTCCCCGTAGAGCAAGGCCTGCCTTCCCTTTCTTCGTGGTCTTAGGGGCCCTTGTTCCCAGTCCAGCAGTGACCGAGGGGACACGTTCTGAGCAGCTGTCAGCCCCCGGAAGGCGCACTAAAGGCCTGTCCCCTTGTATCCTCAACACTGGCACTTGGAAAGCACTCGAGTGTTTGCTGAAAGAATGACAACGATGACTTTCAAGAGCTTCCGTGATTCCATGGAAGAGCAATGGTAAGCTATGCCAATGACCGAAATCAGTTAGAAAAAAATGAACAAATACTGATTTGATAGAGTCAGAAATTTAAGGGGATGAAGCAACAGTGACTGTAAAGAACTGGTTGAGAGGGTATCATGTATACGATATTATAAAAAGGAACAAGTTGCACAGCAAAGGAAACAAGATTAAAAGTCAAACCTTAGAATGGGAAAAAATAATTGCAAGGGAAACAACTGGATTAACCTCCAAAACACACAAGCAGCTCATGCAGTTCAATACCAGAAAAGCAAACAACCCAATCAAAAAATGGGGGGGGGGGGGGCAGACCTACACAGACATTTCTCCAAAGAAGGCATACAGATGGTGAACAAACATGGAAAAAGATGCTCAAAATCACTCATTATCAGAGAAATGCAAATCAAAACTACAATGAGGTATCACCTCACACAGGTCAGAATGGCCATTATTAAAAAATCTGCAAACAATAAATGCAGGAGAAGATGTAGAAAAAAGGGAACCTTTCTTCATCACTGGTGGGAATGTAAATAGTCATTATGGAAAACAATATGGAGATTCCTTTAAAAACTAGGAAAAGAACTACCATATGACCCACCAATGTCACTACTGAGCATAAATGCAGAGAAAACTATAATTCAAAGAGACGCATGTACTCCAATGTTCATTATAGCACCATTTACAATAGCTGGGACATGGAAGCAACCTAGATGTCCACCCGTAAATGAATGGATACAGAAATTGTGATACAATAGACAATAGATATTACTCAGCCATAAAAAAGAATGTATTTTAATTATTGAATTAAAATGACATACTTTTAAAGGACTGACTTTCCCACACACTCTGTATATTTTTTTGTTTAATCAGAAATGGAAAGGAGTCATCCATATTGTATTAAGTTTCCAAAGCTGTACTAACTGGAGAAGAATTTATTTATGAGGAAAGCCCTAAGAGCTAAGACAGTAACCATTAAGAGCTAAAGAGAAAACTCACAAATAAATTTCCTTTCTGCCTTTAAAAGTGAAAATAATGATAATACTCAGTATTTAAATAGCACCAGGTACTGCTCTAAGTGCTTTGCAAAGAAACTGAGGCACAGATCAATAAATTACATTTCCCAAAGTTTATTTAGCATGTAAGCAGGATTCATACTGGAACTCTGAATTTTTAAAAGTACACATCTAGGGACTTCCCTGGTGGTCCAGTGGCTAAGACTCTGTGTTCCCAATGCAAAGGGCCTAGGTTCAATCCCTCGTTGGGGAACTAGATCTCACACTTCAACTAAGATCTGGTAAAGTCAAATAAAAATAATAAAAAAATTTTTAAGTACATATCTAAATCAATTTCTTAGGAAATTTCTTTTATAATTGGTTCACTTCGATAGAAACAAATCTGGGTTTTTTTTGGCCATGCTGCATTGCTTTTGAGATCTTAGTTCCCTGACCAAAGATCAAACCTAGGCTCCCTGCAGTGGAAGTATGGAGCCTAACTACTAGACAGCCACATATCTGTTAATTCTAATGTTATCCTAAGTATGTGATTCTTAATCTAAAATCATGAAAATGTGACATAGCCTACTGTAAACATATATATATATATTTATATATAAATGACTATATAATAAAAAAAGTCAGGAAAATAAGTACCCTGATTAATTCTATATAAAATTATTTCCTAGGAACAAATAAAGCAATATATGTGTGAAAGTTTCTTTGTAAATTATATCATTACTTGGTAAATAATCCATATGTTTAAAGTTCTTTTACTATAATTTACAAAGAAAATTTTCAAATATATAGATAGACTACTGAGAAAGTAGTTCTTTTCAACCACCAAGTACTTTTTTTAACAACCACTAGGGGGTAACTGCAGTTTAAGACTGTGATGAAAGTAGTTTTATATGGGAGACATTTAAAAAGAGAAGGTGGGTTAAAATGTAACCCAAAAAAAAGGATGTTACAATTTAACATAAATAAAAATAAGCATGTAACATACACTGGCTAAAAATCAGTACAGAGTCTTCTCCTTAACTTACCTGCCAAATACAGGGCAAATGATATAAATCTGTGGTAGCGAATGAGGAACTGAAGTTGCTCTTCTCTTTGAACAAATGTAGCAAAATAATCAGCCACAGTCTCTCCATAGAAAAAGTAGTTCACACACAACAGAAAGTACCTGTAACGTTAAAACAATTAGCTTCTTTATATTTGAAACATTTTCCCCCTCAAACCCAGCAAACCTATTTTCTACTTTTGATGATGACACAGATCAAAACTAAGTTTTGAACATAGGTTCATGATATATTCCACCAAAATCCTTTTTTCTCCCTGTTTTAAACTTAATTTCAAACTTACCAGTGAACAAAAATGTACTGAGTAGTTCATGCCTTTATTTAGCTCAAAATCTAATGCCAGAGACAGAAAATTAGGAAGCAGTGTAGAAAATACTACACACACACACACACACAGAGTATTAAGTTTATAATGAAAATGCATTCCCAGCATCTCCCTAATGCTTTTTTTTTTTAAGAATTTTTTTATAGTGGTCATTTTTTAAAAAGTCTTTATTGCATTTGTTACAATTTTGCTTCATTTTTTAATGTTTTAGTTTTTGGCCACAAGGCACATGGGCTCTTAGCGCACCCCGACCAGGGACTGAACCTGTACCCCCTGCACAAGAAGGCAAAGCCTCTACCACTGAACCACCAGCCAAGTCCCTCTAATCTTTTTAATAGTAGAGCTCCTAAGCCAAATTCCCGCCTGCCCTAACGAAGATCAATGGGAAAAGAGGGGAGAAGTAATTTGACCTCTCACCTCCTACTCTGTCCTGCCCACACTGGATCTTGCCCCCTTTTCTCAATACTCCAGATGGACTCTAGTTGAATAAGTGACTCAAAAGGTAGCAGTGGGGGTTAGGAGCTAGCTGCAGGTAAAAATCTCTGGGGAAAAACTTTAAAAATGGGGAACACATTACACCCATGACTGATTCCTGTAAATGTATGGCAAAAACCACTACGATATTGTAAAGTAATTAGCCTCCAATTGAAATAAATAAATTAAATTAAAAAAAATGGAGAATGTAAAATTTGAAAAAAACAAACAAACAACACAAACACTTTATGAATGGCCTGCCCCTTCTGCCAGCGCTGGTTTATCCTTTCCCCCAGGGAGAAGTTGAACTCACAAGACTTTGCTGATGGGAGCACGTAAGCCAGGAAAACGCATTAAGAAACACTGCCTCGGGGTTCCTCCCGGATTCCTCCTTTACAAAGACTGTGACCTAGGCAGCCGGGAGGTCAGTAGAAGAGGAGAGGGGTGGTGGTTCCCTCTGGTCCTCATGAATGGAATCAGACCCCACTGTTTCCAAAGGGAAGCACATCATGTTTCCACATTACCATGTCTCACTCTCCTATAATGGAAATCTGTCTGTGACACCTTTGTAAGGCTATCAAGGCCTACCTTGATAGGCCATCAAACCATCTTTTTGTTTTTGGCCATGCCCCTCTGCATGTGGGATCTTAGTTCCCCAAACAGGGATTGAAATGCCCCCTGCACTGGACGCTTACAGTCCTAACCACTGGGCCGCCAGAAAGTCCCTCACCAGTCCAACTTTTGGGCCACTATTCCCTCCCACTCAGGAGAGCCAAGAAGATCTCACCACCTGTGGCAGGTGCCTCCTCTGCCCCCCATCTAGAACCTGATAGGTGCTGCTTCCCCAGCCCAGAACATCCTTCTCCATCCAAAGCCTGTCTTCATTTCTAGTAACAGTTTCTCTGTCACCTTCTCCGTGAGGCCTCTACAATCACTGGAGCCCATCTTGACCTACCCTTTTCCCCCTTACACTTAGAATCAATCCTGCATGGGTTAAACTACTCTCCAAATACTTTAGCATTCATTGGAAGGACTGAGGATTAAGCTGAAGCTCTAATACTTTGGCCACCTGATGAGAAGAGTTGACTCACTGGAAAAGACCCTGATGCTGGGAAAGACTGAGGACAGGAGAAAGGGACAACAGAGGATGAGATAGTTGGATGGCATCACTGACTCAGAGGACATGAGCTTGAGCAAACTCCAGGAGATGGTGAAGGATGGGGAAGCCTGTCGTGCTACAGTCCAGGGGTTGCAAAGAGCTGGACACAACTGAGTGACTAAACAACTAGAACTTAATCTGCCTAACATTCCCTGTACACACTGCGACTCATGAAGAAACTTTCCAGAAGGAAAAATTAGGTGTTCATAAAACCAAGAAACTGTTTTTGACTACTGTAAACCCAAAAGGTGATGCCTGTTTTAAAAAGACACTGACTGTGGTACATATACACCATGGAATATTACTCAGCCATTAAAAAGAATTCATTTGAATCAGTTCTAATGAGATGGATGAAACTGGAGCCCATTATACAGAGCGAAGTAAGCCAGAAAGATAGAGACCATTACAGTATACTAACACATATATATGGAATTTAGAAAGATGGTAACGATAACCCTATATGCAAAACAGAAAAAGAGACTCAGATGTATAGAACAGATTTTGGAGTCTGTGGGAGAAGGCGAGGGTGGGATGTTTCAAGAGAACAGCATGGAAACATGTATATTATCTATGGTGAAACAGATCACCAGCCCAGGTTGGATGCATGAGACAAGTGCTTGGACCTGGTGCACTGGGAAGACCCAGAGGGATTGGGCAGAGAGGGAGGTGGGAGGGGGGATTGGGATGGGGAATACATGTAAATCCATGGCTGATTCTTGTCAATGTATGACAAAAACCACTACAATATTGTAAAGTAATTAGCCTCCAACTAATAAAATAAATAAATAAACAAATAAATAAATAAAATAAAATGACGCTGATACTAATCAAACAACTACTGATACATTCAAAGACATGGACTGTTAATTATGAACTATCATATTATCATGTTTCATGGTCAAGGTCCTGATAACTAAGAATCCTGAAAAAAGTTAAAAATATATAAAATATTAAATATTAAAATTATTTGGTGATTCCTATTTGCTAATTTTACATGCAGTATTTTCTACATAGAATAACTTTGTATGCAATGTTTCAGGGGCTGGTAACGACCCTGAAATGTTTAGCAGGGTGCCTTATACACTGACCCCATCAGAGCCTTCCTCTTTCTCTGACAACCCTCCTTGTCGCAGGTCAGAGGTCCCGGGGCCTTCAGGAGACCAAGCCAGGAGCAGCAAAGGTAAGGTCATCCATCCTCTCACTGCCCTGCTTGGTCCTCCTGCCCGAGGCCTGAGGGGGTTTGGAGAAGGTAGGCCAGTCTGCCTACCTGCCCTGGTGCTTAGATGGTAAGGAACCTGCCTGCAGTGTGGGAGACCTGGCTTCGATCCCGGGGATGGGACAATCCCCTGGAGGAGGGCATGGCAACCCCCTCCAGTATTCTTGCCTGGAGAATCCCAAGGACAGAGGAGCCTGGCGGGCTGCAGTCCAAGGGGCTGCGAAGAGTCAGACACGACTGAGCGACTCAGCACAGCACAGGCCAGTCTGCAGGGGTGAGGAGGGGAGGGGAGGAGGGAGACAGACACGCAGCTTGGGCTTTCCTCTCCTGAATCAACCACTTGTCACTCAAAAAAGAGGGAAAAAAAAGAAAACCCACAACTATTTTCACGTCTCATCTTCCAGTCTTTGTAGAGATACCGGTTTTGTGTATGGTCTCATGTCAACTGAGGGGAAATAAACCAAAAGATTAACATGTATTTAACATTTCACAGAATGAAACTTTGTTAAAATTGTAATTATAAAGGGTATAAATATGTGTCCGATATAATGCTGAGGTTTTTAAAAAGAGGACAAAAATAGTGTGTATATGCAATATAAGTCAGGTATCTACAAATAGTGAAAGATGAAATCTGAAAATAATTATGCTGAAATGGAGAGTTAAAGGTGATTTTCTTCTTTCAACATTCAATTGCATTCTTTTCATTTATATTTCTTTATACTCAATCTATAAGGTCAACTGGGTGGATACTGAGTGGTCAGGATGCTTCCTTACCAACTTTAGAAAAGAATCAGATTTTCATATCTGAAACAATTTTAAGTCACTTACCAACTTAGTGTTCTAAACCAAGGTAAGTCATAAGAATGATAAACTCTGTAACCTATGGTGATGATTTCATGGAAGCATTTCACTTGGATGCTTAGAACCTGAAACCAAGAGAAAACATTAACACACAGTTCTTAATGTCTACATTTATGCTTAATTATTTAACAAGTAACTTGTTGTCACATGTATTTTAAAAATCTTCACTTACCCACTTTCAGTTATTCTAAAGATCATCAGCAAAAATTCAATATTCAACTTCTCTATAATCAAGTGATGTCCCAAAGAGGTAAGCAAAACAATGTTTTATTCAAAACAATTGCGAGTTCCTTCCAAGGGTAGGAGGTGGCACTGTACTTTAGAATTTGAAGGGTATAGTCTGGCTGGGGTCACAGCTAACTAGGCTTAATCAATCCCTCATTACTGCTTCATTTCTTGAAGTTGGGTGGCTTTTTCTGTCGATTTTGTTTCTTGAGTTATCCTAGGAAAATGATCCTATATGAAAATTTGCTTGTATATGTTTATTTTTAACAAGTTGGTATTCTTGCTGAGGATAAAGATACTATATCAAGACAAATGGCTAAAATATCCTTACTGAGTCACTCAAGGTTTGGCATGAGATTTTCATTCTTCCCACCATGCCAACTCTCCCTCAGCCAGCAACACACATCTCTGATCAACCCAAGCAGTGCTTCCTTGACATATTATAAGCAGCCTTCGATGTCTGCAGCCCCAGTAGCCAGTCAAGTGAGTCTATGCAGTTCTGTCTGCACAGTGTCCAATACACATGCCAAGTAAGTAAGTGACAGTCACCCAGTCATGTCCGACTCTTTGCAACCCCATGAACCGTACCCCACCAGGCTCCTCTGTCTATGGAATTTTCCAGGCAAGAATATACTGGAGTGGGTAGCTGTTCCCTTCTCCAAGGGATCTTCCCAACCTAGGGACTGAACCCAGGTCTCCTGCATTACAGGCACATTCTATACCATCTGAACCACCTGGGAGGCCCCGCACATGCTGAGTAAATAGGTTTATATTCATGAACCCCTTTTTGATGGTCTATGTAGCAGTCCCTCAAACTGCTGCATCCAGCAATCTGGATAAAGGTAATTTCTGAGACTATAGCATCATAACCAGTGTTTGGCTTAAGTCAATTCCAAGACTCAAAGAGCCAATGGCAAGCTGAACACTCATCACCAGGAACTAAGAGATCCAAGCCTCTGTCAGTATAGCAGACTACCTTTTCCCACCTCTAGAGAATCTACCCAGGGGTTTGTTTTTGTACAGCCCTGGAGCTAAGAATGGACTTTATATCTATAAACAGTTAAAAACAAAACCCAAAGATGATACGATGGAGACATATGTGGCTCCTTAAAGCCTAAAATACTACTATCTGGGCCTTTCCAGAAAGAACTAACCAAACTAAAGAGTACACGTTGGGATTTCTTTTTAAGGTCACCACTAATCAGCTTTCCCAAACCTACTGCCCAGGATAGTCTTAGGTTACTTTTCTCCACTATACCTATTACATGTCCAATGACATACTTGAAAAAGTAATTGTATCCCCTTGGCAAGAAAATATTATGCCAAACTACCATAAATAATTCTTTTAAGAAAAAGCTATAAATGTGTTATAAACAAAAGAGGAAATTTAAATACTGTCCTTCAAATAACCTTTGCATATATTATCAAGTTATTTTTTTTTAACAAAAATAATCACAGAACAGGGACAATGCTCAATGTTGGTAAAATGGCAAAGCTATGCTATTTATAGAACCAAGGGCTTTTAAAATATCACGTGCACTCATGCAATTTCTATGAACACATTTGTTCAAGAACAACCATTAGCTCTATATATGGAATTTCACTGATAGGAGAAAAAAAGAGCTTTTAATATCACACTCATATGTGTATACAGTTGTCACTTGTAGCTTATCAACAGAATTAATATGGTACTGCTGGGAAAATAGAAAACAGAGAATTCAAAACAGAGTAAGAACTGGGTGACCACACAGAACCTGATGCTCCATGCCACCGACAGAGGTAGCAATGTACCAAAAGGCCTCCGCTGGCCCAATTAACGTGCTAAGAGCATTAAAAAACAATTGATACCTAAGTGCCTACTCTGCTACTCTGGGCTTCCGCGGTGACTCGGCAGCAAAAAAAACCACCTGCCAGTGCAGGAGATGTGGGTTCTATCCGGGGGTTGGAAAGATCCCCTGGAGAAGGCAATGACAACCCACTCCTGTATTCTTGCCTGGGACATCCCAAGGACAGAGGAGCCTGGCGGGCTACAGTCCATGAGATCACAAGGAGTAGGGCACAACTCAGCAACTAACCACCACCACCACTCTTGTTAGTTACTGAGGATTCAGAGAAATAACACAGGCCTTCTCTTCTCAGAGAGGAGCAGTCTCTCAGGGAGAACACACGCAGCTCCAGTACGATGTGCAAGCAGCCCCGTGGGTACGAGCACAGGCAGACTAGAAAGCTGTGGCGAGGGCGGGGATGCGCCAGCTGGGGCGGAGGAGGAGGACAGACAGCCACGTACACCGGGGAGGGGGGGTGCAGGGAGCTAGACGTAGTCCAGAGAGGCTGGACGCAAAGCTGGGATGGGCAGGAGAGGGAGGCGAGTCTGGTCACAGCAAACAGCATGAAGGGCTGAGCAACGGAGCTGGTGCTGATCACGGAAGGTCAAGATCAGACCTGAGTGTCTGGGGTTAACAAGTGGGAAGAACTGATGGGAGAAGCAGCAAGAGACGAGACAGCAAGGCAGGTAAGATACCACACCCAGAGCGGTGCGAGTGAGCGGCAGAAGAAGACGGACTATAGGAAATCAGAGACATCAACGAGGTAGAACCGACTGGATTTGGTGGCTGAGCAATCAGAGGGGCAAAGGGAGAGAGAACATAGGGTGATACCAGGGAAGGCTTGAGAAGGAAAGAGGTATGCACAACGGCTGGCAAGAGAACACAAGCTCAGATTTGGATATGTTGAGTCTGAACTACGGTACCTATGGGTTATCCAAATTAAAGTACCTATTTTCACTCCGGGAATTTGTTCGAAGAAAATAGCCCTGCACATGAAAAAGCTTTACATTTTAATATGTTCAGGATAAAACTATTCACAATAAAGAAAAACCAGAATATAACCGGAATGTCTAAAAATAACACATTAATTGCTTTAAATAACTTATGATGTACTGCATTCCACGGGGTAGACGAATGTATTAAAGCTAATGGTTACAAGGACTATGGAGCAACACAAAACATTCAATATTTAGTTTAAAAAGGATACAGCATTTAGTCACATTATATACAATTACAATCATGGTTTTTAAAAGAAAAAAGGATGAAAGGAAATATATCAAATGGCAGTATTAACTTTTGGTCACTGATGATGGGATTGGGAGTGATTTTTTTAATTATTTATTTTCCAAAGTAATTTTATAAAGAAACTTTATTATTAATATTTTTAATTAGGTCCATGGCACGTGAGATCTTAGTTGCCTGACTAGGAATCGAACCCACGTCCCCTGCATTACAAAGCAGATTCTTAACCACTGGACCACCAGGGAAGTCCTTCCAAAGTAATTTTAATAAACATTTATAACTCTCACAATGGAAAGTGCACTATTTAAATAATGTGCATTAAAACAATTATTATGGGAGTTTCCAGGAAGGGGTATGGGGAACCTCTTATATCTGTCACATGTTCCCATTTCCTTCTTAAACAAGATTGCTTTAGTAACTCCATCACTTAGAAAGTGTGATTCCAAGCTGTGACTGCAACAATTAAAGCACTATAAGTAGAAGGTTGAAGAGGAAAAGCTCCTTTTATTTTAAGGAATGTGAGTATAAGTTCCATCTTAAAATAGTAGCTATCATTTCCTAGATGTAAGTTTTTAATAAAACTCTCTTGAATTAGTAATTTTTGAGTGCTGGTATTGTAAGACAAATGCAAGCTAGGTACAATGTGTACTTCTCAAAATACAAAGAACCTAGTTAGGGTTATAAAGGTAAATAAGACTTTAAAATACAGATAGTATCAATTGAGTACCAACAGTGTGTGTGTGTATGTATATATATATATATATATATATATATATATATTCATGTTCCCTTAACATAAATATCATAAATACAAAGCATATATATATGCATGTGTACATGTGTGTGCATGCATGTGCAGTAAATCTAAGTTAAGAGCAATAACAGTTCAAACATATTTTAACTAGATCTTTAATATTCTTCTCTGATTAAACTCACCAAAGAAATAACCTGTAATACAATGGTATTTTCCTTTCATAGTAGAAAAACAAAAAAAGCCCAAGTACTTTAAATGCGCTTATGATTCTCTTCTTAAAAAATCAGAATCCAAATATGCAAGGAAGACTTTAAAGCTGTTTTCAATGCTGTCATAAAAGAATGGTTAAGAATTGGTCTCTATCCACAAATTCTGGCCCTAGCTACCACAACAAATAGTTCATCTTGGAGAGTAATGTCATTTTGTCACCGGGCACTTGAGTCAATGCCTCCAGGATACTGGTGGTTTATAATCTTTGATCAAAACTACCTTCGAAAGAGGACTAACAATCCAAATGATCCCTAAAAATTTTAAATGGCTCCCCACTGCTTTACAAAATAAACTCCGAACGTCTTCACATAATATCTCAAGGGCCTCCAGGATTTGATCCCTAATTACGTTTTCCCGTTCAAAGGCCCCAAGCCCCAGGCAAAGGTTTCACCTACCCTTTCCTGACACACCCAGCCATCGGGACCTTTGCTCACAGTGCTCACTCCAGCCCCACAGGTCCTCAGGTCTACTCAAAGATCCTTTCAGCCCCAAAGCCTCATTGAGCTCTCTGCCATCACCCACTGCTCCTTCCCCCAGCTTGACCGCTCTCCACACAGCACTGGAGAGCGCTCAGCACACACTCAGTCCTGAAATGTCACCCCAGACCGCCGGGAGCCCTCGGGGGTTCAGACTCCGAGGACTGGCAGCTGGGGCCCACCCCTCACGTCACACCTGGACTGTGCTCACGCCTGCCTACCGGCTTTCACCCATTCAGCACCCTCTAGCCTCACAGTAAGTCAGTCCTGTCCATTATCCATCCTTCCGTTGTAAGAAAAAGCTGCAATGTCAGCAAATTAACAGAACAGAGAAAGTAATTTCGCATTTATTTTTTTTTTTAACCTGGATATGCCAAACAAGTACAAAATTAGTAACAGGATGAAAAGAAAGGGTTTTATGGTCCTTTAAAGAGGTATTCTAAGTCACTTCAGAAGTTGATGGGATTTTTTTTCAACTGTGTCTGATTTCACTTCCAAACTTCTTTTATTTTCTTAACAAAAATAAAAGGAAAATCATCATATTGCTCCTACAACTTTATCGCTGTAAACAGGAGTAAACAGGAGAGGGGAAGGTAGGTAAACATATTTCTCAGGGTGTCCAGGCAGCCAGGAAACAAACAGGGAGGTAAGATCATAAGAAGGGACTAAACTAACTGAGATGTGTGCATGCATGCTTATTCACTCAGTCATGTCTGACTCTTTGTAACCCTTGGACTGTAGCCCGCCAGGCTCCTCTGTCCATGGAATTTTCCAGACAAGAATACTGCCGTGGGTAGTTTCTTCCTCCAGGGGAAGCTGGAGATAACTGAGATGGATGAAGACAAACAATGAAAAGAAGGGACATCGGGCATAACCATGGAGCAGGCCCTCACTGTTCACCGCTAAATCACGTTCAGCACCCAGGAAGGGCATGACGAATTTGTTGAAAAGAATGTGTTTCTCCTTCTTACTTCTACCACTTTGGACTTCAAATGCTTCATGCTTCTTTGGCGATCAAGGTTTCTATACACAGGGAAACCTTGGCTGTGATGATCCTTCCCTCAAGATCTCTGCTTCACCCCGTGACTCCTACCCAGCCTTCAATCACTGTGCTGACGCTGAGCGCTGGATAAAGTCCAGGAAGCCTACCAGCACCCCTCCGCTCTCAGCTTCCTATTCTTTTGTCCAGAAGCTTACTGCAGCCTGTGATGATACATCTGATCAATTCTTTAGCACATGGACAGTAAGCTCCATGAGGGCAGAGAGCCCCACGGCACCACCCTCCAGAACAGCCTGGCATAGTTTTGTTTTTTATTTTACTGTGGTTTCCCAGTAGGATCACAAGAGTTTATACCACTCATTTACTACACTCTTTATTCACATGGCTACCTACATGTCTCTGCCATCAGACTGAGTCTCTTGAAGTGAGAGATCTAGCTGATAGTCACATATGTTGAAGACGTGTGTGTATTACTTTCTACTGAAAGCTTGGCACAGTTTCTGACACAAAGTTGTATATCTGTTGTATGTACTCGGTCTCTGCTGAAAGAACACACTGAATGGCCAATTTGCAAGTGGAAAAGAATAGCCAAGGTCATTTCATAAACCAGAAAATGCCTAAAGGAACTAAATTTGCTGTTACCAAGTCTTGAATCACCTTCTTTTATATGACATACTCAAATTACTTCAATATTAATGCTGTAAAAGGAAGCGAGAGACACTTGGGCAAACACAAAACACTTACAAGAAGCATCAGCATAAAGGATCCCATATAGATGATCAGGAAAAACAACGAAATCATCGTCAGAGTAAGAATTCCACGAATCCACCAGTTTTTCCATCTACAAAGGAAATGTTTGTAAAGTGAGCATCAGTGTATTCTTAAATGTTTGCATCTTGTTTCACTACTGAATTGCCAGACTTAACCGATTGCCCTTAACCACACTTTAGGGATCCCCACGCACCTACTTTACCTTCTACAAAAACAATTACCAACCAAATGAAGAGCAATTGCTCAGTCACTGAGAGCTAAAGGAAATGTAAAAATTGTTTGCCAAAAGAAAAACCAGCTCACGTTCCACATGAGTGAGAATGGATCCTCTGAGGCTGGGAAGTGAGGTGGCCAACAAGGATGTCTACACATCCCATCCTGGGGTCGTTGGGATGGGAAGGAGGGGCCACGTGCACAGCCCACTCAAAGGATGTCCATCCTTCAGGGTGGTTGATATAAATGGTAATGATGTTACGGTGGGGTACAACAGACAGCACGGCCTTCTAATGAGAAGAAGTAAAGGAAGGGCGATGCAGAACTGAAACTGGAGAGATTAGCAATTTCAGGAAAAAGAGGAAGGTGTGGGGAGGTCAGACATTGAGGGCAAGGCCAACCAGAAGGTCACTTCTTTCAGCCTGTTTTCCTGAGGGACAGAGCCTTCAGCAGTAGAGTATTCTCTTCTCCTTGGGCCTTTGCTGGTTCTTAGAGCAGAGTTCCCCCGAGTAAAAACCGTGGCTGGTCCCTGGTAGCTGAGCGGGACTTGACCTGCTCAACCCTCTGCTGTTAGTAAGGGCCTGGGGAGCCCATCTCCCCCCACACAGGGGCGCCACACATACCCCTAGGGTACTTTACAAACAGCTGCACTCCTTCTGTGGCTATGTCATGAAAAATGTCAGCAGACCCTGTATGAAACACCCCTAATAACACCTATAGAAGGAATATTCATTGGAAGGACTGATGCTAAAAGCTGAACCCCTAATACTTGATGTAAAGAGTCGACTCATTGGAAAAGACCCCAGTGCTGGGAAAGACTGAGGGCAGGAGGAGAAGAAGGCAATAGGGATGAGATGGTTGGATAGCATCACTGACTCAATGGACTTGAGTAAACTCTGGGAGACAGTGCAGGACAGGGAAGCCTGGTATGCTGCAGTCCATGGGACCCCATTCATTTTACATCCTACTAATAATTTCTGATTTCTATTAATCCATATGATAACATTTAAATTATATCACAGACATTTTGACCCAACATATGATAACACATCAGTTCAGTTCAGTTCAGTCGCTCAGTCGTGTCGGACTCTTTGCGACCCCATGAATCGCAGCACGCCAGGCCACCCTGTCCATCACAAACTCCGAATTTACTCAAACTCATGCCCATCGAGTCGGTGATGCCATCCAGCCATCTCATCCTCTGTCGCCCCCTTCTCCTCCTGCCCCCAATCCCTCCCAGCATCAGACACAGGCACACCCTATTCTAAGTATTCTCCACCCTATAACAGAAATATTAGCTGATTCCATTCATTTGTCAAACACTAATTACATTCCCTGTCTTCAGTCACTCTCCTATATAGTCTAGATACCCAGATCTACTCTTCTCTCAAAAATCCCTTTGATCACGTACTTTCTGCACACAAGACCTAAAATGCCAACATTAAGTCCAAGCTCTTTTAAATTGTTTTCAAGGGTTTGCACAAGTTTGTCAGGTTGTACTTACCCAACTTTATTTCCCTCTCCTGCTTAACTCCACATGTAGACTCATACATTTTTCATGAGACTGAAAGCTTTGGGGCTGTGCTGAAAAGCTACAGCTGAAAGGTTCCATTTGGCTTTATAGAACGAACTCTTTGAGGATGAATGAATGGACTACAAAACTGAGCTAGGTTGCAGAGCTAGTCAGAGGTAAATAAAAGGACCACAAGCCAGTCTGTGGGTAATAACCCTGTCTTGTTTGCATGAATCTCAGAAAGGTACTTAGCCCTCCTTCATAACTGATTCTCAGACTCAGAATCACTGAGAACATTTTTCAGACAAAGGACACTACCCAAGTGTCAGAAATCAGTCCTTGGTGGGAACGGCAAGGTCCATGTGCACCTCTAACACTAAAGGGCTGGCCTTGAACATCAGAGAACCAGAGATTTAAACAGGGACCTACTCTCTTTTATTATACCAATGCTACTCCTCCCAGAAAAGTTCCCCAACAAGATCAAAGACTTACTTGCCTTATTGTAATTTAAATGACTCCCCAAACCTCCCAAGAAAACCTAATACAAAGTTAAGCACATAAAAGCAGAGATTTAAACATAATATATGTATGCACGGATAAGGTAACCAAAAGTTACCTCTCAAGGGAGAAGCCCTTAACTCCAAACAGAGCTCTGATATGCAAAATATATGTACCATTGTTACTAAAATCCAGAGGAAAGTCTAGTTCCAAACTCAAAATTCTTGACTTCCTTTACCATGCCACCATGATCACCTTAGAGGAAGCCTTAATTTTGAGTCCAGGTCATCACCTCACAAATTGTTTTAGATCAAGGAACGCAGAACCAATAGAGGAGAGTTTCATTCAAGTCTCCCATCTTCAGGACCTCTGTGAGCTAGAAATGAAATTTCTAAAAAGTACATAATTAAGCAGTGATCTTTGCCTGGAAAATCCCATGGACAGAGGAGCCTAGAGGGCTACAGTCCATGGGGTCGCAAAGAGTTGGACACGACTGAAGCAGCTAAACAATAACAAGCAGTGTCCTTAAAGGCAATTATCTAAAGCAATGACACACTTATTGCTCAAATCAGTTATGTGATGCACAACGTCTTATTGTTACTACAACTCTTCAGGGGTTTTTATTTCAAAAGTAATAAAACAACAAAATTTTTTTTTTCCTTGTGGTACAAGTATCATGAGTTGTCATAGACCTAGGCTGACACGGCAGTTCCCCTGCGCCAAGAATCACAGCACAGAGGCACTCTTCGAGAACAAACAAGAAGTTGATGGGCCATCTAGCAAACAGTAGGGTTTTAGAGAAACCCCATCTGCCAGCCTCAGGAGGAAGTGGACAGGAAGCGTGCAGGTTCCCAGGGAGAAGGAAGATGGTGTGAGAGAGTCCAAGAGCATCAGCAAGACTATGCCTGGGTATCTTCAGGGGCTCTCCACCTTCACTAGTGACATTTGGGCCACATCATCCTCTGCGGTGAAGAGCTGTTCCGTGGACTGTCGGACGTCCCCTGGCACCTACCTATTAGGAGCGAGCAGCACCGTCTCTTACTGACAACCTAAAACGTCTCTGTGCATGCGTCCTCAGCCGTGTCCGACTCTGTGACCCCATGGACTGGAGCCCTCCAGGCTCCTCTGTCCGTGAGATTCTCCAGGCAAGAAATACTGCAGTGGGTTGCCGTTTCCTCCTCCTGGGGATCTTCCTGACCCAGGGTTCAAACCCTCGTCTCCTGCGGCTCCTGTATAGGTAGGTGGACTCTTTACCCCTCAGCCATCTGGGAAGCCAGACATTGCTAAATGTTCACAGGTTGTGGGGGATGGTACAAAACCCAAGGCCTCGCCCCTGGAAAGAACTACTCAGTGAGAGTCATTGCTGAAGAAGCTCTTCACTAAAGGAGAAAGCAGCCACTTCACCGGCTAATGAATATTCCTTTCCACAGATCCACGCAAAGGTCAAGAAACAGACTGGGGCACCCGCCAAGGGCCTGAAGACTTTTCAGGCTCCTTCCGGTATCAAGGGCTCATGCTCTTTCTGGCATTATATATTAGAGTCTTAAAAATGAACATAAATCTTGCCCAAGGAATTTCACTTTGAAGATTTCATCTGGACTCTGAACAAGATGGCGGAGGAGTAGGTGGACGTGAAGTACCTTCTCCCCATGGATACATCAGGAATACACCTTCAGACACAGAAGGGCTTGCAGAACACAAAAAGCTGAGCGCAGACAGGAGTACCTGACCACCGGAAAAGAATTTATAGGGCCACGCAAAACTCAGTAGGATGAAGGAAGTAGGGGGAAGAAAAGGAGAGTTAGTAGGACTGGACCTGCCCTCAGCAAGTGGGGAAACTGAAGCAGGGGTCTGATTCCCACAACCAGAGGAGAAACAGCTGAGGCTGGGAGTGAAGCAGCTGATCTGCGACAGCCCAAATGAAATGAGAATCACACAGACGATCCTTGTCGCAGCCATACGTACCCCAGACAGGGACGCATGTTTCCCAGAAGGCACAGCGACTGTGAGGCAAACCCAGGGAGAGGTCTGCTGCTGACTGTGGGGAGTTGGCCCACGGGGACATGAGGGAGGAGACTGTGGTGGGAAATGCCTGTGGAGGAAAATCAGGCAGCCATGGAGGCAAGCCGGTACTCCTGAGGCATGAGCAGGGGTGGCGCCATCACCGTAGCCTCTCTCTCCACAGCTGAACAGAGAGGTTGGCCCATCAAACGCCCGAGGCCCCAACAACAGAGAAGGACCCCAAACAGGGGAGCCCTTTTAGCGCCTTACGCACAAAACACCAGAGGAGGACCCCAGTCAGCGGGGCCCCTTTATGTGCCTGACACACGAAGCAACTGAGGCCCCCAGGCAGGGCGGCTGTCTAAGTGCCTGACGGGCAGAGCAACCGAGGAGGATTAGCCAAGGAGGCCTTCCGATCGCCAGCCGCCAAAGGCTAGAAAAAGACTCTGAGAGTCCCTTGGACTGCAAGGAGATCCAACTAGTCCATCCTAAAGGAGATCAGTCCTGAATATTCATTGGAAGGACTGATGCTGAAGCTGAAACTCCAATACTCTGGCCATCTGATGCAAAGAACTGACTCATTGGAAAAGACCCCGATGCTGGGAAAGATTGAAGGTAGGAGGAGAAGGGGGCGACAGAGGATGAGATGGTTTGACGGCGTCACTGACTCAATGGACATGGGTTTGAGTAAACTCCAGCAGTTGGCAATGGACAGGGAGGCCTGGCGTGCTGCGGTCCATGGGGTCACAAAGAGTTGGCCAAGACTGAGTAACTGAACTGAGGGCCATAGCTCCTGCGGCTGAGGCAGTCTGTGTCCCTGCACACTTGGCACCGCCAGGGTTCCC